TTTTTTTTAACCCGGGGTGTTGTAGAGGCCAAGGACCAGACCCGCGGTGATTGCTGGCAGCGGCAGCCAATGATTGCCCTGACAGGATAGGCCACCTACCCTACCCATCCCCACGTTAATACTCCCAGTGCACCGCCTGTCCCTACTATCGTACCTCAGTGTGACCAGCACTCAGGACCATCACCCTACCGATATCGAGGGCAACTTGGACCAGACAGCAGTGACAAGCACCAAGGCTGGACCAACCCCCCAGCCCTAGTGGAAGCGGAAGCAGACGAACCTTGCCGTACGGAAACTTCGGACGCCAGGCTCATGCAATCTTCTACAGGCTCAATATCTGAGAGTCTACCCAGCAGGAGTACCTAAGCAAGGCAAGCCAGCGACCACGGACACATCCTACTGTCCTTCCCCTAACTTACCCAAGGCTAGGCGGAACTCAGACTAGCCCGAGCAACTTATATCCCTGATAGGCATCCTTTTTTTTTTCCTTTTTTTTTTTTTTGAGTCACGGATGTCAGCTGAGATGATACTGACTAAAATTCAGCCACAGAATTCTCTCATTGGGTATGTCCCAACTGGCTACCAAGTAGGACCTGCACACACCTTTCCCATCACATACTTGGTGCCACACCTGGTGTGACGCGGGCCACTTTCCCAAATTGCTCTATCAGGCCTCATGCTCCCCCATTGCTATGGGTTACAGGGTGGCACAACTCAACCCAGCGCCGACCAGCATCGTTCTGGCCTTGGTCAACCTCAGGGCCCAGGCCAGTGAAAGTGACGGCAGTGGGTCTTGAACCCAGCACCTGTTTTGTGCCCCTCGGGCATGAAACCTACTGAGCTGACCGACAGGACTTGACAGGTCCATGTGAGTTAAACTAATAGGAGGTTCATCAACCCGTGGGCCGCAAATGAGGGGTGACAAAACTGAAAAAGGAAATGAAGGCACACAAATAACACCAGGACTTTTGGACTGAGCTGTGGGCTTGATTGTGATCAGATGGTCCTTCCAGAAATCTGTTACAATTGGAACGATACACAGAAGATTTGCATGGCCCCTGCACAAGGGTGACACACATAAACCCAGAAATGGTCCACATTTATTTATTTTAAATTATTTATTTATTTATTTATTTATTAGAAAAGATTTTTATGCTATTAAATGATAGAAATTTTAATACCACTTTTTTTTTATCCTGCAGGAGGAGGAGATCCTGTTTTATTTCAACATCTGTTTTGGTTCTTTTTGGTCAGGATGGCCACCTTAGAGAGTGATCTCTAAAAACGTTGCCGTTTGCGGGAACAACTACACGCTTATTCGTACTTGGTTTTTAAGTGCTTGATCTGAACAAGTTAAAATTGTATAAGCAATGTTCAATTAGCAGTTGCCATCAGGCAGGTACATCCAGGCACGGCTGTCATTGCGGCAAAGACATATCCAGGAAAGTCTTAGTGTTAGTATGCCCTCACAGGCTCACACAGGAGCTTTTTGGAATGAATTTGTGGCAATTTTGTGCACAGTTAGACCGCCATTGTCGCCCTTCCCCCTAGCGGGCATTAACAGCGGGGGCGCACTTTCCATACACCAGCCTGCCACAGCCCGGCTGGTACATAGGATCAACAAAAAGGAAATGAGCCAGCGTTTCGTTCCCATGCATGTGGCCAAGCTGAGGGCCCCTGTACATCCAACCAAGGAGTCACACCTGCATGTATTGAGAACATAAAAGCCATCTGGACTGTCTAGGTAATCCATGGATGTACAGCGGACAACTTGACGAGACATGCCTGCACAGACATGCAGTCGTGCACAGAAGGAAGATGGGGGGGTCAGCTTTCCTGGAGGGAGGGGGGGGGGGCTGGGTTGGGAAAGGGTGGGATGCATCATCGGAGAGGTGGGAGGTTGAGAGGGGTGCACTTGGTCGAATTCGGAGAGAAAAGTGGTCAGATACATTCGGAAAGGTTCCAACGGATGCTAGTATTGTGTGCAATGTGCAAATTTTCTTGATACGTTTGATACGTTCCCCAATGCTATAGGTTTCCTTGGGTGGCTCTCCCATCAGTTCCTTAGGGCATACTCACACTAAGACTTTTTTTTTTTTTTTTTTTTTTGATAAAAAAAAAAGACTTTTTCGACCATTCGTACAACTGTATGTCGTGTTTATCCCGCCATAGACTACAAACCATGATCCCTAAAGAGTGGACGGATAAGGTTACCTGATTTGGAAAGTTGGGAACACACTTGAGCCATACGAAGATGAACGCAAGTCATGGGCAATGTTGACCAGGTGCAAATGCAAACTCTGGGTTAGGCACCTAAACCCAGAAACCAAGAGTTTTGACAAAGGCCCCTCCCCCAGACAGGAAAACCTTTGATACACTTTGAAAGGAGGACTATGAGGATTTATATATTTTTTGTCTTTTAGGAGGGCTTAAGCCGCCAGTACCTTTCCCAGCTATCAGCCACAGGTCCTGCGCGCTGAGTTTTGGCGGCGCATCTGGCCGCCGCCGGAGGCCGAGTGCGGCCTCCGTGTTAGCCGGCAAGAAACGGCAAAATGGCTGGGAAAAGTACTGGTGGTTTAACTAAGGTGGCCCTGGAATGCCACTTGGCAGGCGTCTTTGTCACAGGGGATCACAAGTCCGATCGTCTCCACATTTTGACGTACCTGAAGTATTGCGGCAGACACATCGAGTAGTTTCAGCATGGGAGTCCCGTACGCCGGGTATAATAGGCAGGACTGGGGCAGAAAAGGGAAGTTCAAAGAGAGAAAGGAAAGTTTTTGGGAAGCTTTTTTCGTAAGGGTACAAGGCAGGAGGGAAGGGGGGACTGGTTGAACTTTGCATGGGCAGTTAATCCTTCCGTGGAACCTGGGCCATAATGTGGGGAAGCGTGAAGGGTAAACTGGATTTTGTTAAAAAGGACACTGGGCCCCGGTTCCCAGCCGCTAACAGAAAAGAGCTGCTTTTTTCCTGAAAAAGAGAAATAGGGCTTAACTATGGATAAGAATTCCAGGTTCCACATCTTCGACTGAAACTCACAAGACATTAAATCACAAGTACACGGCACCAGCCTTGCAGAAAGTTTTGTCGCCACAAGTAAAACTTGGAAGGGCCGCGCAGCGTGGGGCACCGTTGAAAAAAAAAAATTGGCTGCCTCCGAAGCGGCACGGGTTTCATGCTGACACCTGCGGGCCGATGTGCGTACAGGTGCTTTAAGATCCTTATCCCACAGACAAATTCCTTGGGTTAAGCGGTTGGATGCTACACAGAAATGGAAGTCACCTTAGGATCAATGGATTGTCTGCTCCTTTTGTTCTCATTGATCTGATGATGTAGCCTTGTTAGAGCTGCTGCAATGGCTGCATAGGCATCAAGCGCCTCTGTAACACGCCGTTGTGTGTCTCCAGGAGCAGTCATAGCCTGATGAGTTGTGATTAAACCCTGTTCATCTTTCTTATTATTACCCTTTCCCCTACCCTGTTTCCAAAGGGGTCCTGGTTTCAAATCATGAGATACGATGCTTCGAGCTGTGAACCCATACCCATTTGGCTTCTCTTCCCAATGGCTGCTTGGCCTGCGCAACAATGGCCCACGATCCCAACCACAATTTCGTAATTGCTGTCCCTGTGTCTCAAAAGTACCATATGCTGGTCCCTCAATAGAGTTATCGACGAGAGGTCGATCTATATCTGCCAGCTTTTGCAGCTGTGTACTTGAAGATGAAGTCTTCTTGGGGCGATTACTATCTACCTGGGGCCTAGTATGAGCGGTTTTCTCACCGTCTGCCTGCAAAGCACAGCCAAGGGAAGAGCATCTCTTATTTTCACCCTGTTCTTTCCTGCTGTTCTTCTTGTTGTGACCTGTGTTCGCTGTCTTCTTGGGACCAATGAAGCCGCCACCAGGCCTTTCATTTGCTTTTCGCCGCAAGTTGGGCTGCTGATCCATCTCTTGCAAGATATGGTCAGATGTCGCTGGAGCCTGACAGCTGGCATCAGCTCTCCCCTGTGCCTGGTTCGCCAGCATGGCTGCCTTGCTCTTCGCCAAAGATTGGTGATTAGTCATCTGATGCCTGCCATCGTCCTTGAAGACCCCTATCCTCTCTCGATTCTCTCCTGTCTCTTTCCACAGGTCACTTTCTGTGATCACAACAAACTGGTTTTCCTGACCACCCGTGACGTCAATTACATCAAATGCTCTGTATTTCTGCCGTCCGGTGCAGGCCAGGCTGCTTGTCTGCCGCCCCACATTGTCTCCATGATCTGCATCACACTCTACTGGCGGCATTCGCACAGGAGCTGAGTTCTGCTGCTGCAAGGCTGGCATCATGGCAGAAAATGCACAAGTAGAACTACCACCATCTCCGTGCTGGCTGTTGGCAGCAACAGGGCCGACACCATCTTCCCACTCTTTGACTTCTGCTGACATCAGCGCAAGCTCCTCGTGAGTCTGCGGTCCTTGAATCTGCTTGTCCCTCTTGCCCTGATCAGAAGGGGGGGCATCCCATGGGTGCCGGTAATTGCGTTTCGATGTGCTGGAATGGCTCGCATCATTTAGATCAGCAACTCTGGGTCCCTTCACTTCCAGATCACTCCTGCGACTCCTCCCACCAACCTCGGGGAGTGGTAGAGAGGGTTCAAGTCCCCTTTGACTTCGACCAGTGGGAGACTCGGTCTGGGGAGTCGTTATTCTGTTAGAGGCAATGACTCCTTCCAATTGTTGTGTATCCACTCCTCCCAATTGCGTGTACTCTGCTGCTGAACCCTCCTCCTGCTGATTTATTGCATCAGAGTCTTTCACGTCCGCATGGCCTCCAGTATCGCCGTCATCACCTTCAAGACACCCCACAGTTATACCAGGCTTGATGGCTCCAGCTGCTCCTGATACAACATTACCTCCTCCTTCCACACAAAGTTGCCTTATGGTGTTCGGCTCGGGAGGTAACTCTGATCCCCCTGACTTCTCCTCCCAGACTCTGCGGACTGCTCGCCTCAATGACGACATGTGCTCTTCATGGCTCTCCAACTTTCGGCCATCCTCCTGCCTCTCCTTCTGCAAAACCCATCCCTCCCTCCTCTTGGCCGCTTCCTGCTGCCCAAGACTACCCTCCTTGGCAGGCTGTTCGAATCCCGCCGAGAGCTGGTTCTCCTGACAACCCCTCAAATGTCCTGTACCGAACCCAATTTCACCAGCCTCGCTTGGGATGCAGCGGGGGGAGCCAAGTGCCGCTGCATTCATTTCTTGTGTTGCAGCAACTGAACATGTGGGCCGACGGTGAAGAAGGTCCAACTGATCAACATTGTCATGGAAAGCCGAATGGCCCACGTTCCTCCCGGTCCGCTGCTCATGGTCCACCACCCCTCCACGGAGTCCATCTGCCCCCCTCTGGTCCTCAGTTTCCCATTCCCCTGATCGGATTTCAACGGCATGTGTCCCACCCTGCATCTCCATAGCAGGGTACCAACTGGGAACACAAACTGGAGAGCTGCTTGTAAGGTCTACTGATTCCATCATCGACATGTTGCACATGCCTTCCCTAGAGTCTCCAACCTCAGTGCCATAGTCAGTACCCACCTTCTCCACATCCTCACAACTCTTAGAGCCTGCCACTTCCTCCACGTTCCTTCCTGCAACCCCAGCTTGCATTATATTTCCTCTCGGTGAATTTTTGCAACCTTGATCATCGGTGCCGAAATCCTGATCATCGTGAAGTTTCTTGGCTGGCAATCCCTCCTTGTCAGTCCCTTCCGTACCAGTGCAAGATTCTGTTACTATCTTACAGGCCGTACAGCGGTCTTTTTCGCAACGATGCCGACAGAGTAGGTTATCCTCCACCTTATCGCTCCTCCTTTCGCCCCATATGGGAGCAGGGTGAGCATCACAGTGTCTGGTCTGCGATTGTTGCGACACTCTCCGTGCTAAGTCCTGCATCACCTTTCTCTCATACTGAAGCTCGCGGTGTAATTTTGTCCGCTCAGTGAGCTGGCGCTGTAGCTGCACCAACTGTTCCAGCGGTCGATTTGATGATGGCCTTCGTTTCGCCGTCACTCTACCCGAATTCCACCGGGAAACGGAAACGCTTTCCCCTGACGCCGGCGTCTCTCTTTGCACTTCAGAAACACAAGACCGAATATTCTTGGACAAGTCATCCCTTGATGACAAATCTGGATCTGCAGCAGCTGCAGACATATTCAATGTTTTCACCGGGACCTCAGCAGCCATATTTGAGCTGCTCCTTATCCCAACAGTTGAGGGAGTTTCCACGAGGCATGAACACTCCTCTTCTGGCGGCTGCGAGCCTTTCAACACAGGGGACTCTGCCTCGTTCTCAGAATCAGACGGCAGAGTTACATGACAACGGTCTCCTACCAGCAACTCACAAGTTCTGCAGGTTTTCTGGCCCTTAGCGTGCTCATGATTGCAAGATACGTTGGTTTGCTCACCCGCTAATGACGAATCCTCCCAACTGCATGCAGGCACAGAGAGGGGATCTCCACCAGACACCTGTGAGATTCAAGCAGATTTTTGCGCCATTCAAAGACGTAAGGGTATTGTCTAGCTACCAACCGGCCTAGCCCAGTTGGTACACCCATGAACTGTTGAAATACAGACCTGTCATCGAGTCCCGATGGAACTAGACGAATGGAATCAATAACTCTGAATTCCCTGGGGCCGTTCGGTTTGATAATGATAGCTCAAGGCTGTCGCCCTTGCCCTTTAGTAAAAGGGTTACCATCCAGCCCAAACAAAAGAAAAACGAGGAGGAAAAAAGGACGAAACAACGGTTTCGTCAACTTCTGTGACTTTGTCTAGCCTTTTCACAGTTGGAGGGTTGGATCAGAAATAATACAAGGGACATTAAACAGATACGCTGATTTCTTACATTTAATTTCATTTTTGAAGTTTATTTAATTTATTGGCATGCTGAGATGCAATCAATTTGCAAACCAACTGAGACCATGTCATATATACAGTGTTGTCGCCCCGAACGTTCGGGAGGGGTCAGGCCGACCCCCGAACGTTCAGCCGACCGGGCCAGGGTTTGGGGGCCCGCCAAACCCCGTTTGGGGGCCTATATTTTTTCTTTTCTTTCGAGGTTTTTTAATGGATATAGCACCACCTAAAGCACCTACCTCTGAATTTTCGTATTATCCTGTCCATCAGAAAAACAATTGCCCAAGATCCTCGAGGTGTCTACAGGGTTCTCTCAAGGGTTCCGGAAGGAATGGTACCCCACCAGAATACCAGTCAAAAGCAAACCAGCCTTCCAAATTTTCCCTTACCAGGCCCACCCCATGGGACATCTAGGCCAATTTTCCTAACGACCACCCATTTGGACATTTAAACCGAGCAGACCTTTAGTGAAGTACCCCTCCGAGAAGCCTCTGAGACAAAGCCAATCTTGAAAGAGGCTACACCGGCAGGAAAAATTCTAGCACATATGCCCAATGCACAGCTAACTTGGGTTTCTTGCTGCGGAAAGACGAAAACAAATCTTGGGACTTTTGAAAAACAATACCCTTGCCTCTAATAACACACTCCTGGTTCTTTTTTTTTCTTTTTCTTTTTTTTTTTCACAATGCAGTGACCGAGCGTAACAACTACTAACAAGGCATAAAGTCATTCCAAGTATCCCTCCGATCATCATTCCTCCTCTCTAGAAACAGGTGTTTGTTCTAGCAGCAGTGTCAAAAGAGTTGCAAGTTTTTTTTTTTTTTTTTTTTTTTTTTTTTTTNTCTAGTGTAGGGTGCCTGTTAGTACATAGTACAGAAACGTTAGTACCGAGTAGTGTGACTTGTGGTGTGGCAAAGTATGGGTGTTGTTGTTGTCTTCTTCTTCTTCTTCTTCTTCTTCTTCTTCTTCTTCTTCTTCTTTTCCTCCTCCTCCTCCTCCTCTTTTTTTGCACTTGTTTGAGACTTGTACACGCGGATATTCTCGAGAAAGCTTGAGATGTATGTGCGAAAAGCAGTGTTGGTCGTTGTTTGTCACATTTCTTCTCCTTTTTCGTCTTGTATAAAAGTTGATAGTCGTGTAGTTGATAGTAGCGGTAGATAGTAGTAGTAGCAGATGAGCTAAGACCATAATAATCTCTATATAGCTGGTGAATCTGAAACGTGGTTTAGGCATTCCGACTACCCTCGACCTCAAGCGAAAGCAAAAAGAAGTTACTCTGAGGGTACAGATTAAGAGAAGTGTGACGTTCAAACCTCACGCCCTACGCTGTTTTCCGGTCGGAGTGATAAGTTGTGCGCCATAAGCTCTAAAAGACAGCAAAATGGGGTGTGCCAATGGTTTTTGGATAATTGAGTGTGGGGACACTGATGGAACTGAAATCCCCCGCGTGGTTCCGGTTTAGTGAGAAATGGTCATCGTCACGAGGAAGGAAACAAACGCGCGCAATTTTCAAACATTCGTTCAATCCAAAAAATATCCTTGAACCTCCACACGAGCTACTTGCCATCTTTTAGAGTGGAAAGGCGAAGGTACGCACGTGGGATCTCGTTTTCGAATCAGATCCCGACACCACTCATTGCAGAGCTCGGAATCCGATGTGGATGGCCTCAGCCTGGTTGCTCGTTCCTTGCGTTCGTCTTCGCCACGTGTTCAGTAGTGGAACCCCTTTTTCGATAACGCTCTACACGACGACAATCGCTACACAGAGTGTTGGGCCAGTGGGGTGCCACAACCGCCCAAGAAATGACAATTAACTTGTTGAAAGGCAATAACTATGAATATGGAGGGAAGTGAGTATCAATAATGACAAAACCAGCATCTACAAATCCAAACCACCTCGTCTCAGGTGAAAAATAATAGCGTCCGCCGATCTTGGCGACAACTTCCCCTACGTCCCACTCGCATACACGTGTCCTTTCCTCGTTATACGGGAATGGTCGCGATGGGGATGCGGGGAGTCGGCACCTAGACGAGTCAGAACAATCGGTCCACATGGCACAAGCAAATTCTGAGTACGTGAGTCTACCCAATCGACTGTTCAATCACAAAAGTAATCAATCGCGATATTGTGGGCTTTATTGCATTTCATCCATCCGACAAACCAATCAAAAAGAAAAGTGTGAGTTCAATCCAACCACAGCAACAATCATCATTCATCAAGGGAGCGACAAGCATGCATTCCCATAATCTCTGTGAGATCTTAGCTTAGTTTCCCCAATCAATGCGCGTGTAACAAATCTTTCATACACGAATCCTCAGTTGTTCAAAAGACACATCAACAACCGAAAAGGAAACCGATAAGATATTCCGGAACTTACTGGTCCCTTTGAGTTCAACGATGTTGTTCATGCAAGATCTGATTGAATTCAACAAGGGCGAGCAAGATCAAGGAAATCTCGAGTCATTTGGGCATTCATTAGATAGATGCAAGAGAGAGAGAGAGAGAGAGAGAGAGAGAGAGCTGTCTCTTATACACATCTAGATGTGTATAAGAGACAGTAGCAGCAGTGTCAAAAGAGTTGCAAGTTTTTTTTTTTTTTTTTTTTTTTTTTTTTTTTTTTTTTTAACCATTTCTTTCTCGAGTTATGTGTATCATCCTTGTGCAGGGGCCGTGCTAAGCTTCTCCTTATCGTTCCAATTTTAACGGATGTCCCGAGGGAACAAACATTTCGAGTTTCAACAATTTAGTCTCCCTATTATAAACAACAAGAAGTTTGTATGCATAATTCCAATTTTAACGGATGTCCCGAGGGAACAAGCATTTCGAGTTTCAACAATTTAGTCTCCCTATTATAAACAAGAAGTGTGTATGCATAACTGGTGGTAGCCAGATGGTTGCCGCTTATTGAAGGGGATGCTGTGAAGGCGTCAAATGTGAGTACACAGAAGTCGCTTTCTATCGACTGCATCTGCAAGGGAAGGGTGAAGAGGACCAGTGGGAGAGGAGCAGAAAGGGAACATAAGGGAAGGAGGAAGACAAGAAGAGGGAAGGAGAGAGAAAGAGAGACAGAGAAGGAAAGGAGGAACTGGAGGAACTGGAGGTACCTTTTGCCGTTTTTTCTGGATAATTCTTGCCACAATGGCACATGCATCAGGACCTAACAAAGGTCTGTTTGATACAGAGAATCCTGATGGCGTCAAAATTTGAGGCTTGTGTATGGCGCTCTTCCCATTAACATTCGGTTCCGTTAGGTCACCAGAGCCATCCTGCCCCCCAATTTTGATGTCAGATCGTGAGTTCAGACACTTGCTTGATGATCCTCTCCCTGATACCCAACCGCGAGGTGGCAGGTTCCCCATGTCCGTATTTGTATGGGCACCACTGTGGACTCTAGCCATCGACCCAACTGGCCATTCAAAGACAAGTCATATCCAGAGGAGTGATATGCATGATATTATCCAATTCCCGTACCAACATACGCTCACATCTACCCATGCTCTTCTCTTCCCCAGGCGCCTCTCTCTCACCATTTCTCCAAGTATAGTTCTGTTTCCCTACAAGCCCGTGGCTTGAAAATACTGTCTACGAGGACTCTCGTACTCTCAGGAGTCTGCTGATCAGCCTGCCAGCTCTCGCCCTATCTCTCATATAATTATGCCAATCCGATTGACTACCAATCCGTCTGTCTCCCTCTGGCCATGTCTGCTTCCATCCGTCCAACTTTACCTCCTTTCCCCAACCACCTTTCTCCATCTCTTTCCCCACCTAACCACTGTGCGTAATCTCTCTCTCTCTCTCTCTCTCTCTCTCTCTCTCTCTCTCTCTCTCTCTCTCTCTCTCTCTCTCTCTCTCT